GTAGACTGGAGTGGAGACGACGGAAAAACAGGTAATAAAAGAGATACTACACTGGAACAAAGACGAGACAAAACAGGTACAATTGATTTACGTTTACAATATTACAATAAACATAACAATTTAAAATAATGTCTATATCTTTTACTATAATTACAGGGAAGACAAGAGGCATCGGCCGGCATAGCAAAACACAATGCTTGTAAAGACATTGCGTTGCATACCGGCCGACCCTGTCGTCCCCCCTGGTCGTCGAAATTGGCGTCATCCGGAGTCGTCAGAGGTGGCTGCAATTAGCACCTCGTCGTCGTTGTGGCTGTAGCTGCCCTCTTGGAGGACCAGTGGCACTGGTCCGGCCACCAGCTGGGGACCAGGATTGACGGCACACATATTACTGTGGCGACACAGGTCCGGCCGCCAAAGTGAAATGGTTGTGAGTGTGTGTGTGCGTCGGCAATTGTGGCCCTGATGTAGAGCGAGTGGCACTGGTCCGGCCACCAGCTGTGGGCAAAGGTGGACAATGACACACATAACTCGAACGGCACAGGTCCGGCCGCCCAAGTGTAATGGATGTGTGTGTGTGTGTGTGTCTGAATGGCTGGCGGTGAGTATTTTCAGAGCCCTTTTTTAATCGTATTTGTGGCTGATGGATTTTTCGTTTTCCAGGACGATGGGGCACTCTGAATGCCATGGCACTGGATCCGGCCACCAGCTAAGGACGATGGCGGACACGACACACATCTACACGAGCGGCACAGGTCCGGCCGCCCAAGTGTAATGGATGTTTGTGTGTGTGTGTGTCTGAATGGCAGGCGGTGAGTATTTTGAGCGCCCTTTTTAATCGTATGTGTGGCTGATGGATTTTTCCTTTTCCAGGTCCATAGGGCACTCTGAATGCCATGGCACTGGATCCGGCTACCAGCTAAGGACGATGGCGGGCACGACACACATCTACACGAACGGCACAGGTCCGGCCGCCCAAGTGTAATGAATGTTTGTGTGTGTGTGTGTCTGAATGGCAGGCGGTGAGTATTTTGAGCGCCCTTTTTAATCGTATGTGTGGCTGATGGATTTTTTCTTTTCCAGGTCCATAGGGCACTCTGAATGCCATGGCACTGGATCCGGCCACCAGCTAAGGACGATGGCGGGCACGACACACATCTACACGAACGGCACAGGTCCGGCCGCCCAAGTGTAATGGATGTTTGTGTGTGTGTGTGTCTGAATGGCAGGCGGTAAGTATTTTGAGCGCCCTTTTTAATCGTATGTGTGGCTGGTGGATTTTTCCTTTTCCAGGTCCATAGGGCACTCTGAGTGCCATGGCACTGGATCCGGCCACCAGCTAAGGACGATGGCGGACACGACACACATCTACACGAGCGGCACAGGTCCGGCCGCCCAAGTGTAATGGATGTTTGTGTGTGTGTGTGTCTGAATGGCAGGCGGTAAGTATTTAATTGTTTTGATGGCGGCAGCGTCCGTTGTTAATTTTTGTTGTGGCATGCGATTGATATGCATTTGTCCTTTAATCCATTGCAGCGGCAGAGATGTGTCCAATTAGTACACAGCGTTCCAGGATATCTGGTTGTCAAGATGGTACCTCATGTTGCGGGCGTAGGCCTTAATGTCATCCATGGAGTCGTCATCTGTCCACATCTCATCGTCATCATTTTCTTCATCCGTTTCAGGATCCGTCTCTGGAATGGCGCCTGGCATTGGCCCTGACGTTTTTTGTGGTGGCTGTGGAGCTGGGGCAACCACTGTTGCTGCTGCCATTGTTGGTGGATTTTCCGATGTCACTGGAACTGCTGGAGTTGCCGTCACTGCCTGGGATTGGATGAGCGAGGTGAGTAGTGACATCATCGCTTCCAGCCTCTTTTCCAATCGCGTCATCCTCTGCGTATTCTCCAACAGTGCCTGGCTGCAGGATCCCTCGCAAGATTGGCGTTTCGGCTGCATCTTCGGCCGGGAGCGGTTGTTGGCAAGCTGCTGCTGCTGCTGCTGCTGTCGCTGTTGTTGTTCGCGCTGCGGCTGCTGTTGCAGCTGCTGTAGCTGCTGCTGCTGTTGTGGTGCCTGGGAACGGCTCAATGGCTGCTCTGGACGTCGTCGCCCAGTGCGTGGGCCAGAGGCAGCAGGCGTCTGTTTTTTTGTAAGTATTGGCTGCTGCTGCTGCTGCTTCTGCTTCTGCTGATGTTGTTGTTGTCCTCTTCGTCGCCCAGGAGAGGAGACATTGAGTGGCGTCCATGCTGCCTGCTGCTGCTGTCCGCGCCAGGGATTGGCTGGCGTTTGAGCTTGCTGTTGCTGCTGCTGTCGGCGCCCTGGATGTGCTGGTGTTGTTCTTGCTGGTGGTGGCTGCTGCTCTGGCAATGGCTGCAGAAGCGAGCTGCGCCTGCGACGCAACTCCTGCATGGCCACTCGGTGGGACAGAAGGCGGCCCCTTGCTGCCTTGAATGCCGGACATCCCTTGTAGGCGCTGATGTGGGCGCCCTGGCAATTGGCGCATTTAGGGGCGTCTGCCCTTGGCTTGGCACATGCCGTGGACGCGTGGGCACCCGCACACTTCATACAGACGAATGAACGCCTGCAGTAGGTGCGGGTGTGCCCGAATGCCTGACATCTGTGGCACTGGGCTGGGTCCACCGGCTTGGCCTGCCTCTCAACGGTCACCAACTGGTTGCCCAGCTGGGTTAATTGGAGGACATCGTGGTGGCTTTCATCCGGCTTGGGGGCTATCTCCAACTCGAACTGGTCGAGTTGCTGTCCATCGGATCTCCCTTTAATGGCTCTAATAAATATAACATAATAACCCAATTCGGCCATCTGATTTTTTATTAGTTGGGTGCTTGTGGAGTGGTGGAGATCTCGCACGACGATCCGTAGCCCACGGTCACTCTTGTGCTGGTGTGTGTAGTGGCCAGTCATCGCCTCGTTGCCGTCGCCATCGCCCAGGATTGCCATGATGGCATCCCTGGTAGCCATGTCTCGGGCCTGGATACGGACACCATTGCGGCTGATGAGCTTGGTGTGATAGCTGCTGTTGCCCACCCTCGGGTCCTTCTGCAGCTTGTCCAGAATGGGCATAATGTCGGGGACAGCTGGCAGAATGATGGGGGGGGGAATAATTGTCGTTGGTTGGTGCTGTCGCTGCTGCATCCGAGTTTGTCTGGCATTGGGCATACTCAGGGCGGGCAGCTGGAGCAGCCCAACGCCGCCGCCGCTGCTGCTGCTGTGGGTTCCTGTGCCGCAGCTACTAGTTGCATTTGCAGGTGAGTGAGGTAGAGCTAGTGGGGCATTGGCTGGAGCAGGGGCAGGGGCAGGGGCAGGGGCGGGGGCAGGGGCATTTTGAGTAATTGTCCGCTGATGTTGTTGCTGTTGCTGGTTTGATTGTTGGTGATGGAGATGGTTTTGAATTTGGGGGATATGGGATTTGCTTGCCTGTTGGTTACTTTCCCGGAGTCGTCGTTTGGCCGATGCATAATTGGCATCCAAATTGTCGTCGTCGTCATCGTCATCAAACTCAACAACCATATCATCACTGTCATCATCGTCATCATCATCATCCACCTCGGCGCGGACGCGCTTCAGTGGCGAACGGGCCGCTGCAGCAGAGGTGGATGGGATATCATCGGTATTGGCTGTGTTTGTTGCTATTGGCTGATGTTGTTGTTGTTGTTGATGTGTTTGCTGCTGCTGATGTTCCTCTGGCGGCGGTGGTGGGGGGGGGTCCGCCTGTTAACATTGCTGTTAACAGGCATCGTCTGGCTGCCGACGTAATTGCAGTTGTCGTTTTTGTGTTTGATGTCGCTGTTTGTGTGCTGATGTATGTCATCATTGTATTTGTGGTTGTGGTATTGGCTGTGTGCATTGCATTTGGAACCGCTGCTGTGGCCGATCGAGCGGGGTTTGTGCCATGGCTATGGTTCGAGTTCGAACTCGCTCCCGAACGGGCACTCGAACACGAATCTTTTGTTGGCTGCTGTTCGTGTAGGGGCTGCTCGAGTGCCCTCTCGTACCGTCGCTGGTACGAGGTCGTTACCCGCTCTCTCTTTGCACTCTCTCTCGCTCCTTGCTGTTTCCGGCTCTCTCCACACGAAGCATCGGCATACGGTGCATCGATACGTGTATGTGTGTGTTGGAGTGTGGGAAGCGGAATTATTGGCGCGCTCGGTACCGCTAGGCTTGGCTTGGCTTGGCATAGCGGTGCTTGACATTGCGGTGCTTTGGCTGACGCCGCTGCCGCTGCCGACGCCGCCAATGCCTCAAGCCGGCGACTACCGCTGCTGCTGCTGCTGATGTTCTGCTGCTGCTGCTGCTGCTGGCGTTCCTGGGTATGGACCGCCTCCACCCAATCGCCGATCTGGAACTGCTCCTGGCTGGTGAGATTGGGAATGGCCGCCCAGCTGTTGGGGCAGGGCAGGTCGGGGATGGGGCTTGTGGCCGGAGTGGCGGTGATGGTGGTGTCGGTATTTGTGGTCCTCACATACCCGGTAATGGTGGCTGGAGCCGGTCCAGAAATTGGAGGAAGTGCCTCCAACCAGGTGGCGGAGTCGGTGGATTGTCGTCTCAGTATCGCTGCGTTTGCCCCGGCGCCGGTGGCTGCGCTGTCGGCACTGGCTTCGCCGTCGGCGGCGCTGTCGGAGCTGGCAGTGGAAATGGCTGATTTGGGGCGATCCCTGGCTGTGACGCCGTGTGGTCCTCGTCGTCGTCGTCCTCTTCTGGCAGTGGATCCGCGTGGCATAGCTGCGCTGGATTGGCTTTGGTTGGATTTGGTAATAAATTTTTTCGACCGACGCGAGTGGAGATTTTGTTTTTTTTTTTGATGTGAAAACTTGGTCAGTTCACTTAGTGTGACCTGACGCAATCTTTATTAATATTCTTATTACTATCTAGCAACATATAACATTATATCTGACAACATTACAAGTTTTGGCAACATAATTACATAAATATCGATAACATTGTGGTATTTCTTACAATTAATTAAAAATTTTTTTTTTCTTGCTTTATTTTAATTTTATTTTAAAATTAAGGTCAGGTTAGCCCGCTCGGCCGAGTGGCTGCTGGTCCGGCCACCGAGGATGCGTTGCCTGTGGATTGGCTCAATCGACCGAGTGGCTGCTGGTCCGGCCACCCGGGATGCGTATGGGTCTGGAGGATGTAAGTTTCGTGAAAGCGATGATGCATTTGCTTGCTATCTGTAAAAGATATAAAAACTTTTTGTTTTCTGTTTTATTTTCAGGTTTTGACTTTTGATGTGCGGAGAATTTGGTAAGTAGTTTGAGTTGTATTTTGGCTGAATTTAATTTAATTTTATTTGCAGGTTTATATTTTGTGGGTTTGGTGGTAAATTGTCGGCATTCAAGTTAAGTAATTTTTGTTTTTATATTTGTTGGCTTTTATTGAATATAATTATTTTATTTTCAAGTTGATTCCCTGGATGTTGTGTTGGGATGTCTTCTGGTTGCTTGCTTAGTTGCTGACGTTTTAAATTTTGTTTTATTTTCAGGTTTGCTGCAGATTGGGTAAGTGTTTTGAATTGTATTTTGGCTGAATTTAATTTTATTTTATTTGCAGGTTTTTATTTTATAGGTTTGGTGGTAAATTGTCGGCATTCAAGTTAAGTAATTTTTGTTTTTATATTTATTGGCTTTTATTGAATATAATTATTTTATTTTCAAGTTGATTCCCTGGATGTTGCGTTGGGATGTCTTCTGGCTGCTTGCTTAGTTGCTGACATATGTACATTTGTTATGTACATACAGTTAATTTCGTACACCATATGTGTTTTGTTTATTTAATTGGCAGGTTTTGTCTTCAGCTTTGTAATAATTTGTATGTACCTTTGTGTAGTTTATGTTGTTATATCTGTTGTCTTTTTTTTTTTTTTTTTGAGGACTTTATTTGTTTTATTTTCAGGTTTGCGGCAGATTTGGTAAGTGTTTTGAATTGTATTTTGACTGATTTTAAATTTTATTTTATTTGCAGGTTTATATTTTATAGGTTTGGTGGTAGATTGACGGCATTCAAGTTAAGTAATTTTTGTTTTTATATTTGTTGGCTTTTATTGAATATAATTATTTTATTTTCAAGTTGATTCCCTGGAATGTTGTGTTGGGATGTCTTCTGGTTGCTTGCTTGGTTGCTGACGTTTTAAATTTTGTTTTATTTTCAAGTTTGCTGCAGATTTGGTAAGTGTTTTGAATTGTATTTTGGCTGAATTTAATTTTATTTTATTTGCAGGTTTATATTTTATAGGTTTGGTGGTAGATTGACGGCATTCAAGTTAAGTAATTTTTGTTTTTATATTTGTTGGCTTTTATTGAATATAATTATTTTATTTTCAAGTTGATTCCCTGGATGTTATGTTGGGATATCTTCTGGTTGCTTGCTTGGTTGCTGACGTTTTAAATTTTGTTTTATTTTCAGGTTTGCTGCAGATTGGGTAAGTGTTTTGAATTGTATTTTGGCTGAATTTAATTTTATTTTATTTGCAGGTTTTTATTTTATAGGTTTGGTGGTAAATTGTCGGCATTCAAGTTAAGTAATTTTTGTTTTTATATTTATTGGCTTTTATTGAATATAATTATTTTATTTTCAAGTTGATTCCCTGGATGTTGCGTTGGGATGTCTTCTGGCTGCTTGCTTAGTTGCTGACATATGTACATTTGTTATGTACATACAGTTAATTTCGTACACCATATGTGTTTTGTTTATTTAATTGGCAGGTTTTGTCTTCAGCTTTGTAATAATTTGTATGTACCTTTGTGTAGTTTATGTTGTTATATCTGTTGTCTTTTTTTTTTTTGAGGACTTTATTTGTTTTATTTTCAGGTTTGCGGCAGATTTGGTAAGTGTTTTGAATTGTATTTTGGCTGAATTTAATTTTATTTTATTTGCAGGTTTTTATTTTATAGGTTTGGTGGTAAATTGTCGGCATTCAAGTTAAGTAATTTTTGTTTTTATATTTATTGGCTTTTATTGAATATAATTATTTTATTTTCAAGTTGATTCCCTGGATGCTGTGTTGGGATGTCTTCTGGTTGCTTTCTTAGTTGCTGACATTTTAAATTTTGTTTTGTTATCAGGTTTGCTGCAGATTTGGTAAGCGTTTTGAGTTGTATTTTGGATAAATTTAATTTTATTTTATTTGCAGGTTTTTATTTTGTAGGTTTGGTGGTAAATTGTCGGCATTCCAGTTAAGTATTTTTTTGTTTTTATATTTGTTGGCTTTTAATGAATATAATTATTTTATTTTCAAGTTAATTCACTGGGTGTTGCGTTGGGATGACTTCTGGCTGCTTACTTAGTTGCTGACATACATATGTAAATTTATTATGTACATACAGCTAATTTCGTACACCAATATGTGTTTTATTTATTTAATTGGCAGGTTTTGTCTTCAGCTTTGTAATAATTTGTATGTAATTTTGTGTAGTTTATGTTGTTATATTTGTTGGCTCTTTTTTTTTTTTAGGACTTTGGTTGTTTTAGTTTCAGGTTTGCGGCAGATTTGGTAAGTGTTTTAAATTGTATTTTGGCTGAATTTAATTTTATTTTATTTACAGGTTTGGTAATAGAGTGTCATCAATCAAGTTAGGTAATTTATGTTGTTATATTTGTTGACTTTTAATGAGTATAGTGTTTTATTTTCAGGTTTAAAGAAAATTGGTGTGAAAAAGAAAAAGTGATTTCAATTGTTTTTACGCCAATTGTAATTTTATTTTATCTGCAGTTTTATTTTTTGCTGGTTTGGTGGTAAGGTGTCAGCAATCAAGGTAAGTAGTTTATTGTTATATTTGTTGGCTTTTGATGACTGATGTTTGTTTTATTTTCGCTGGCTGTTGCGCTTGATGTCTGCACCTTGTTTGCGTATTTACTGACATTGTTTGTTATGTAAATAGTTATTTTGTACGTATGTATGTATGTATGTATGTATGATAGATTTGGTGGGTAGTTTATTGGCTTTTAATGATTTTTTTTTTTTTTTAATGATTTTAACTTTATTTATTTACATTTCAGGTGGTAAGGTGTCAGTAATCAAGGACCAGCTTAGAATTTGTGGAGCAAAGTTGAGTGATTCCATGTATGACGTGAGGGGCCTTCGCCACATTTTGATGCAGCTTTATTCCAATGTAAATGGTTTTTGAAGCGTGTCTCTTCGAAGGGCTGTTGCTCCTGATGTCTACAAATTGTTTGAGTATTTATTTAAATTAATTTGTTATGTAAATAGTTATTTTATATTTTGTTTTGTTTTCAGGTTTTTCCAAAAAGTCGTGTTATCGTTTGCACAATGCCGATGGATCAACAATTAGCCAGGCGGCTGTATGATGCCTTCTTCTTCGTCCCCTTTATGGTCTGGCACAATGATCCTCTGGATTCCCAATGGTTGACCCCTTATTCTGTCCAGAATTACTTCTCTAGTGTATTTCCCTTGCGCGTACATTTTTCTGTAAACGTTGATCTGTAGCTCGCAGAATCTGTCCGGGGGTTTGTATGGTATTTTTTTGCGTTCAGCCTCTCTCTTGTCCATTTTATCCTTTTCTATTCTTTCCTGTTCCTCGTTTTCTAGCCTCAACAGAGTAGGAAGTCCTTTCCTCAGGATGGGTACATACTTCTCTACTATTACTTTACGCTCAGCTTCGGAATAGTATCGAGTCGGATCCAGATCTGGATTTGGTTGTTCCTGAGGTTGTCCGTTACTACGCGGGAGGATGAACTTCCGGAGTTGATTGTCGTATCTATGGCGGCTAGGTTTCAGTCTATCAGGAATATAGGGGTTTATCAACAATCTGGCCACTTCTGAGTTGGGATGATCTTTGAGTGAGTCGGCGAAACGGCCACTAGCCTTTACATACACCTCTTCGATCGTTTTGACATTATATATGCTTCTAATATTGTCATTTCTTGTGTATCTTGTGGCCCTAACTGACCTTCTCACTAATTTGTTTTGGAGTGTTTGAATCTTTTTTATTAGTGAGTCAGAAGCTAGAGCCCCCCAGACTGGAATAGCATAGTACCAAATTGGCATAATTAACTGTTTAAGAATGGTCACTTTGCAGTCCCTAGCAAGATGGCTTTTGTTTCCAATAATCCAGTCGAGTTTTATTGACGTAGATATTGTCTTGTTTATGATGGTTTTGACATGAGGGCTAAGGCTTAGTTTCCGATCAAGGACAACCCCCAGATACGTTTGTTTAAATTTGTTAGGAATTCTTTGACCATTTATTCTAGGCGTGCTTTCCTGCTGTGTTCTACTGAGACTATTTAATGTGAAAAATACGTGGGCTGTTTTCTTTTCATTGATGCCCATTTCCCATTTTTTTGCCCAAACACTGAACTTATTTAGGTATTGTTCGTTCATTTTCGCCGCAACCGAGGGGAAGTCCGCTATGCTCATAATAATTGTGTCATCTGCATACGTAGCCAACATTCTGTTTTTTTCTCTCAGCACCGGTATCTCAGTGGGGTGATAGCTTCTCATGCAGTTTGGGAGAGGAATATCCGATGAGTATATGCTGTATAAAAGAGGACCCAAATTGCTGCCCTGAGGAACTCCGGCTCTTATTTTTCCAGTTCTCGATGTTGTGCCATTGTTGGTAATCACTTCGAAAGTCCTATCATTTAAGTAGCTTTCCAGCAGCTTGAAGGCCTGTAGGGACACCAGTTTTGACAGCTTGTATAACAGTCCCGTATGCCATACTCTGTCGAACGCTTCTGATATGTCTATAAATACAGCTGAACAGTATTTCTTTTCTTCGTAGGCCCCCATAATGAACTGTGTAACTCTTGCTAACTGCTGTTCAGTGGCATGTTCTTTTCGAAACCCGAATTGGTGTGTGGGAAGGGCTCTAGAGAAGTCATCAAAATCGAAAAGTCGTTTGATGAAGAGTTTTTCGAAGGTTTTAGCCAGACCCGATAGGAGGCTTATTGGCCGATAGGATGCTACTGACTGAGCAGGCTTGTTTGGTTTAAGAATCAGAGCAATTGTGGCATGTTTCCAAGCTTGCGGGAAATGTCCTAGTCTCATAATTGAGTTAAAGATTAAAAGGATGTATAATAATGCTTTCTTTGGAAGTGCCTTAATTAACGCATTGTCAATTCTATCCTTACCCGGGGCTTTGTTCAATATTAGGTTTTTAATTTCGATTGTCAGTTCTGGGAGTGTAAATGGTCTGAGAGGACGTGTTTGTGCTGTGTTTGTTGCTGCATCCGTCAGCTTCTGTTTTTCCAAGTCTAGGTCATTTTGTGTCGATTCACGTTCTTTTTCTGAGCTTGTATGTCTGGGTTTGAAACGTTCTTCTAAGTGTGAGACAAAGACCTCGGCTTTTTCTTCATTGCTTTTAGTCCATAC